ACTAGGTTCATAGGAGACTGACACTAGGAACTCTCACCGATTTCCGGAGGGATGAAACGAAGATTCAATTCTTTTCTGGACGCGTGACACCCGTCTGAATCAGTCTTGTTGTGATGAATTCACCTTACCCGAAAAGTGCTTCCCATGGTTTATTGTACTTTTTCTGCCCTTCTGACTCTTTCCTCGGAATTTCCATGTGCTACCCAACTACCTGTGTTAATTTAGCACTTGATTAAGATATTACATCTGCTACTTCAGTACTTAGTTTTGTAACCGTGCAGTCCATGTTGTGCGTCAACATATTATTTCACCATAAAACAGTGTTCTCTTCAAGTGGTGGTCGAACTGTTTCGCCGGGCTTTACAATTTTGTTGTAGACATTTCATCATCAATCAAGGGAAATCATCAGTTCGTTGTTGAGTAACGCTGTAGGGGATCATTAAATCTGCAGTCAACTTTTCGTCTAAAATTATTTTTACCTTATCAGTTCTGCAAAGAAGCAAACAATTTCCAAGCTCACGGAAACCGTCCTACTCCATCCACCTTTCGAATACAGAGATTGGGATATTGTGCACCATTCTAAATTTATTGCTCTTGGACATAAAGTATTACTTCGTCTGAGGCGTGCATAATGAACTTTTTTGTGAGACTGTCCTGTTTCTTGGATATAGGTCTTGTTCGGTACACAGCGACCGTTGCTATGGAAGGTGCGGCCGTTTACCCTAGTGATGACAGTGTACCCAGTTCATTTTTGTTCTTCCGTTTGTAAAAGTTTTTATTTTTGTTGGTACCAGTTCAACGTATCTTCAGCTGATGCTGACAAATGTTGAAAATGCATCCACCTGAGTACACAAAGGTTAAATGTACTTGACTTGACTTGAACAATTCGATCTACACATGAACAACCTGAGGTACCAGTTCGCGTTTTCATATCCAGTGTTGCCCTCATCCTGGGTGAAAACAACTGTGGTAGCTTAGTAAAGTCAATTAACGAACCAGGAAGCAAAGCCAATCCGCTTGCATGATTTCTGCATTTAACTGTGCAATGGAAAGTAAGCCGGCAGTATCTCTAATTATAGTGGTGTAGAAGGCAAGAATTACAGGCGGAATTGACAAGCCGTGGAAAAAGAAGAAAGACGCAAACTGACGAGGACACCAGGAACCAAGGTCGATAAAGTGGCTCGATGCCCACGCAACAAGACCGAAATGGTTCACCAGCGACAAATATTATCAGGCCCAGCCGGGAAGAACGGGGGACGTAGTGGTGGAAATCCCGTTTCTCCGGTCAGGCACGCGCTTGGCCACGCCACCGAGGATAACCCAGAGCAGAGTGACGCCATCCCGATTAAACAAGTCGAGAACATTAGGACCAAAGCAGCCCGGTCAGGATAGAAAGAGCGGAAACGAAAATACGAGGGATGGCGAACAGGGATCACTCGGACTGACTGAAATCGGAGCATGAACGTGACGCAGAGGGAAAGGATGATGTAAGGTGCGCGGTAGGATGGATATGCCCGCTATAGGTGAGTGCGTGGTAGATCGTGAACCACCTATCCGTTCGAAATAAAGACAGTGCTAGTCTACCGTCTCCTTTTCGCCATCTTAGTGCCTCGAAAGATCCAGCTGAAGCTACCAGGGCCTGTTCATTTTGCAGACGGACGCGCGGAGGCTTCGCTTGATGAGTTCGAGGGAAATGCGGTCTGCAACGGAGGCAAAGGAATTCTAACTTGCTAAGGGCCTTGGGTACGTTACAAACCGGCAGAGCTAGAATGACGTTTTTGCTATACGAAGGTCCAAAGTGAAGTGTTCGATCTGCGAAGTTAAGGCGGTATTGGTAACGGAGTTCGGAAACGAAATTGATCGACAGCAGGCACTAGAGAAATTTCACTTAGCAAAATGAGATGAACAGGACGAGTTTATGGTATTATTCCATAAAGTGGATAGGAGCTTGAGAGTCGGACTTCCTGATTTAGATTTAGTCACGAAAGAACCACACCTTAATGAAAATTTATCCATCGCCTACCCAAACCCCTTCAGGCAAAGTAAAGCTGGCATCATTGCTTGGAGTGACCAAGGCAGAGGAGCTGGTGACTGTGGCTCAAAGTTTTCAAAGCCAGTGACCATGGGAAGAATCCATTCGTCAGAACTGGAACGCAATTTGTATCAGTCTACACAGATGGGGGAAAATCTAATTTCGAGGCGGGATGCACAACGCAAGAATTACGGTCAGTGAGATGGCCGCCGCTGGTTTCGGTGCATTTGTATACGTCATCTTGATAGATACTATACCGATGCATAGCTTTCTCAGTTTTTACTTGTTCATACCCAGTAAGTGCAAAGTTTATGCCTAGAGGTCACTGTTCAAGAGGTGCCAGTCTGTGTGGTAGTAAATACAGGGCCGTGTCAATTTCTAGGATTAAGCGGGGTTCCAATAGATTACTCGTCAGTCTCGATGCAGACAGTCGTGGGCCACCAGTTAAATGGAACAGGATAGAAGAGACATGTATCAGCAACACAATGTTAGTTGTGGAGCGGGCAACTGAAACCATAATCGGTAACATTATCCTCAAGCGAGGAAACATTACACTCGATTTGGAAAAAGACATGAAAATCCTGGGCAGTAGAACCATCAGCCTGAATGCTAGAAGAACCAGCCAAGTGTGTACCGTAAATATTTTCCCTGATTGCAATAAGGGACAAGCTGGAGAGGTGAGCGCAATTTTTACCGACGCAAATGACGGATACGGCTTCTGTAACTGAACGGAACACCCCGGATATTGTTAGTCCCGAGGTGTGTGATGCAAGTCAATATTCCAGGGAATACTCCAAAGAATCCTACAGGAGGTAGAGAAACAATTAGAAGAGCTGAAGGCGAATGGAAGTATTGGGAGAACAAGCAGCACTTATTCCTCTCAAGTGCGCTGCTTACTTGGTGTGGTTGCCTAGTAGAGTCAACTAACGAACGAACGAAGGAGTAAACCCAAGCAGCCTGCTGGAGTTCTGCACTTAACTGTAAAATGTAATGTGTCGACATTAGCTCCTACCAGTGATCATTTCTGGGAAGTTCAGTTTTGCATTCAATTTCGTCAACCTCTGACGTCTTGAGTTGCTCAAGTTTTCCTGAGTTAGGCACTGCTCAGTACAATGTAATCAACGCAGGGTTTTGGTAATGCTTGATAATAATGAGTTCTGAAAATGAACTGGGCCGACTTACCAATTTCTGTGCACCAGAAATCACTGAGCTCCATGTTCGAGGAACACTAGCTTTTTCGGAGTGACAGTACCAAAGGATTTAGTCCAAAGATAAACCGAAAAGCGTCTAATGCCCATTCGCAAGTTGGCCTCTTACAGAAGGCGTTGAGGCAGTTCCGCTCAGGTGTTGCTTCAGATGTTTGTGTCATGATGAAGCCGCATTCATTAAACGTCATTCAAGCCTGGCAGCCCTGGCCGAACTAGGACCTTGAAACGCTAGTGCCTGTATAACTTATGTCAACTAGAAAGCCAGAGACTTGTTTCCACTCTTCTACCGACCGAAGTTGACAGCGGACGTAATCGGCTTCGGTGTGGCAATCTCGGTAAGGTGCGCCAGAGCCCGAGAATGCGGACCACAATTGCTACCAGCTCCTGCTACTCAGACAGAGCATAAACGAGTGATCTTTTCGGTTTAATTTAACAACACCTCGCATCCAGATGCCTTAGCTCTTAATCAACCCTCCTCCGAGCTTCAAGAGTGTAGAGTGCCCCGCCTGCCAAGGATGTTTCCCAACTGGCTATCATTACAACAGGCCTATAAAGTTATCCTCTTTCGTTAGGTCCATCAACAGATTAGGTTACTAATACGACTAAGGGAAAATGAGAAGCTATCGACAGATAGAACAAAACTACATACTCTTCTAATTAAATTATTCTACTTCTATCACAGTTACTCAATGAAATTTGCGCCCGTGCAGTCTATTCTTCTCTCTCATCAGTGAACTCGTACGAATTTGTTTACGCAAAATGTGAAAAAACAATAAACGTATACTCTTACGAAATGAAAGACTTGCCAGTGCTTGTGTCGGTCTGCTGCGAAACTGGTGTGTCAGTAACATCATTGCATAAGTACGTTTCATTAAGACATAATCTGAAAATGTCCCGTGATGTGTTAAGTCTCGAATTCTATAAAACTAGTAATGTGTGCCGTTGATCGATTCATCCGGCTAAAATCACAAACCTATTTAGATACTGCGATTCAAGTACAACCACTGTCCTTCTGCAGTGTATTATACCGCTTTTAGAAATGGTCTAAAACAATACAGGATAGAAAAAATTTTGTCATCTGTTTTTGGATACACATTTCACAGAGCTTCCTCATTTTTAGTTCATAACAACTTCCATACTTCGTAAGTTAAAGTGTGATAAACCTCGCCGCTTCGCATTCGAAAAAGATACCGGGCACTAAAGTGCTAAAATAGTTGCTGATGTAGTCGAAGCTTCTGTTACTCTGTGTTAGATCATCCAACTTACCTAGCTATGAAAAGGCCATGTGTTTGTTTGACTCCACCATCTGGCATAGTGAAACTACGTGCTATAACTTGTGCCCAGCGAGTAACCACGTAACGCGAAATGTGCGGTACACTCCACAACATCAAGGAATGCATACTTATCGTTGTGATGAAGAGAAACTGTTGATGTTTCAAGCAGGGCACACTTCCTTGGTACTCACTTTTGATCAAGTGATTATCAACATGACTGACTGTTCTATAGAAATCATCAAACATTTACTTTGCTGCCCGTGGTAAAGCTTTGATTCAGCCTTTTTCGGCGTGTCTAACCATGCACAACTGCTCTACCCCGGGTTATTTGATACCGAAATTTGTGCATCCGTTTTCTATCTAACGCTTAGCCGTAGTGAAGATTTTGTGCTTGCCTTCTGGCACACATTGATTTAACCTGAGTGATGTGGGCAGATGTACACCTCACATTACCGCCGAATGAATAAAAATTAATGGGAGACTTACTTGTCACGGGAGCTGCATTGGTAACCACAAATGCACCAATGATTAGTAGAGCGGCTGTGATGATCTTCATTGCCAAACTGAAGAGGAATGTATGAATGAACATTGTGGATAGGGAACAATGGTAAATACCGGGTCGAAACTCGTGAGTTAAACAAGTCCGGTTGAATGATCGAAATTGAAATAACGAAGGCATTGGTGAACTCAACCAGATGCTCACGCGATCAAATTACAAGTTCAGGTGGATGGAATTTGGAGTAAAACTATGAGATATATCTCCTATATTTCTTTCGATTCTGCTTTAGTATGTGTGTTATTCGCATTAATGACCCATTGATAGTTTATGAAAATATGGACAGATCGATAGATCGGATAAATAAGACTTGTATTTGATTGTTTCTTCTTCTACGCTGCCTCTTTGCTTTCTATTAACCTGATGACTCACAGATAGCTTGTGAAAAATATTCGCACTTGGGGGTTTGGATAAATTAACCACATATTTACTGCCCTGTAGTCCTTCGTCTTTTCCACCCAGCTAGATTTAGGCTGCGACAGTCGGCAAGAAGCGGATTTAGTTAACGGTTGAACATTTGATTCACTCCAAGCTAAAACACTCTACTTACGTACAAAATTCCATTTGCTTTCGGTTATCATAGTTTGTCATGCAAGGAAATTTGTTCGTCCTATTTGATTTACATGTTTGATGCTGATATAGTTCATAGTTTAATGGTTTCCCATTGAAATGTTATCCTTTACTGCTACAAAACACTATTTTTACATATTATTATTGTAAATATTTTTAATTACAAGTTTCCATGTTCGTATTGTTTTGCTACCGTTCAAAATATGGTCCGTTTTCTTCTTTTCGCAACACCCCTAAATGTACCTGAGCGATTCCCGACTGCCGTGCATTCCCGAACCTTGTGAAATAAAATATGCATTGAAAGAATCAATAGAAAAATAACCGCATTTGATCTACTACGGCGGTCCTCTAGCTTTTGCCAAAGTTTTCGCTGTACCTTAGGATTGGATCTGCTTTGTTGCGCTGTGTCTCAACACGTTAAAAATGCATCAATTTCAAGTACAAGTAAGTGCATACAGATTAACTCGCGTAGTTGTTCACATGATAAAAGTATAATTTCACGTGACTACCTTATGGTGTCTTCTGATGAATACAGGTTACCAAATGCCATGCGACTGGCGCAATATATCGTCAAGTTGTTTTTCAATATCAGGTCCAGGTGGACAACCATTTAACCGACTGGATTCATCGAACAGTGGCGTGCCCCAAGACACTGTACTGGGGCCGACTTTGTTTCTGATCCATGTAACGATGTGCCTCAGTTATTCCAATCACCTTGTGCGTTGTTCGCAGATGACTTGTAGGTGTGGAGAGTAATCCACACACCCAATGATTATGATTTGCTTCAGCAGGACCTCGACCGCCATTCCATGTGGTCTGCAGAGGGCAACCTTCCGATCCACCCGGTCAAGTCGCAATTCATGAGGCTGACTAAGCATGAGCACAGTCGAACCTACACGGTGGCTGGTCAGCCGTTACATCCCGCGCCTTTCGTGCGAGACCTCGGTGTACTCTCACGCTACGACATAAAGTTCATGGACAACACGAGTAGGATTTACCAAAACAGCCTTCGTATGCTTTGGGCGCTCAGGCGCAGCTTCAGCACTTGGTCCTAAGAGATTGCCTCTCGCCTCTTCGTCTCAATAATAATACCAATGCTAGAATATGACTCACCAGCGTATTGTGCTATCACCCTGGGCGAGGTAGCAAAGATTGAGTGAGTGCAGCCTGTAACCACCAGGCTGACTCCCGACTTACGAGGTGTGCCGTAGGAAGACCGGTGTAAGAAACTAGGGCTGTAAACCCTAGCTTATCGTCGACTGAGGTTTGACCTCCTCATGACACACCGGATATTACATCTGGGTAATTACCCTATGTTGAGACCACTGCTTCATCTGCGCACACAAAGCAGCACACGAGGACACTAGTATAAGCTTGTCGTACTGGATTTGAAGCGCGTCGCTCACCAGCTCTGTTTCGAACGCAGAGCGGTGAATGTATGGAACGACCTGCCGCAGGACGTAGCTGAGGCAAAGTCAGTTTCGGAATTTAAGCAGTTACTTGACGAACACTTTGCGGATGCAAAATATATTGAGCGGAACACAATATAACAGGTATTTGTCCATGAGCGACGACTGATGTAACCACACAGGGCAAACTCTACTTGCTACTTCTGACCAGTATTCAGTATTCGTTTGTCTGGGGGCGGAGAAATTGTATGCGGAAAGGGCGTTGCAAATCTATCATTATGGAAGCCAGAAACATTTTGACTGCATTCCAGAAGCGTATACTACGTAACCAAATCTACCTGATGACATCTTAGGTTGGTTCTGTGGTTAATTTCCAGGATCTAAAGGCCTACGTGGCCTGAACTCTTCCAGGTTTGTTAAGCCATTATGATATACCTACCCGAAGGGGCGGATACTGACTGCAGCTCATTCCCAGGGACTTCAGTCTAACTAGACACCGTAGATGGAGGAAGCTGTTGAGGTTTTTGGATGCTACTAATTGTGGATTCGCGAGTTCAGCGAGATATGCCTTCTGCCATAGATCCTATGCCTAGATATTGAATCCTACATGAGTACACAACTAGACGTTAAAGATTTGTGAACAGAAAGCAGACTCTACACGGCCAAACGTTTTGCGTACTAGGTTTACATGTAGATTGTGACTTTTCGACACCTTCTGAGATCGTTCCTACCAGCCGAAGTAATCTTAAACCATTATCCCTTTTGAAATCTAAATCAGACTGTTTCAACACAATCGTTTTCCAATGTCGTTTGGATGATTACGAAGCATCCCAATGGAAAACCCCTTGCAAGTTTTGTCTACCGAGGCATTTAATGGACTTTATGATCTAAGAAAAAATGCTTGTGGCGATAAATGAATCTAACTTATCGTGCTATTCACAACGGTTTATTTCACCGAAAGACGGAGGTAGCCATTTTGATACGTGACGATAGAATGACTATTATAAGCATTTATAACCTGTGGGCTTTGACGATTATATTCTCAGTCAAAGAAGAACCTTCTGTTACCTAAGACGAATGTCAGCTTTATTAAATGTCCCTAAACTGCATGTCTTGAGCCGACATAGTCATATGAATCCATGCCTTAGTTAACACATCAGAGTAACGTGGAATCAATTAACTTATGTTAGTGTGTGGCGTGTTAGCTTGCTTACACTAATAGGCCTTACTATTCCTGATCGTAAGTTTGGGCATTGTATCAAGCCTACTCATAACGGTCAATGTAACCTAAGATAGCATTCAGAGCGATGCCTTTGGTCCCATGTGGGTACTAAAAGTACCTGCAACACAAAGAGATTATGATTAGTTAATATGTGGTTCGAGCTCATATCCTATTCAAATGGAAGAATGCAGGACCTTAGATTATTAAAAATGACTGGCACCGTGAGAACAAAATTGGCAACTTATTTGCATTACTGGTTACTCTGTACTGTTACACAGTTGATGGAGACTAGTCAGTCAACTACGGTGTATCAGGACTTACCGATTACGCTGCGGTAAAAATTCAGCTCACGGAACGCCTGCAGTATTCGAGGCGATGTGAACATCACATCTTAAATATGAACATGGGACTTCCTCGAACCATTCGGCGCACGAATGACAGTTTAGCATGTAGGCTAAACGGACGAGTGTCGTTTGGTAACCTGCCTACAGCCGAATTGAAACCAGGAATTGCCAGTGAATGCACACACAATCCTTCATTTGATTGGTCATACAGACAGTGTCCAATAGTGAAGTGTAAAATACCGAATGGTGGTGTTCTTTTGTTTTGTGTGGCTCGCGGGCGTGTTAATGTAACGTTTTAAAAGGCAAAAGAGCTGCATGTTATCTGCCGAGACTTAAAAAATATTAAGTAGTTTTCCGCTCCCGAACAGCTACCAGTTAGCGTGGCCTCTAAATACCCAAACCCAGAATTAAACTTATGTCAGATTATTATAACTTTTTAATAACAATTTACTACATCCCTAACATGATCAACTAAGTTTTCTTCGTGTCCCCATCCTAACACGAGGGCTCCATTTGAGTGTCTTCCATTCTGACGCCCATAATAGTATACTTGTTTGTAGACTAATCTTAAAATTCTAAAATGCACAACTGTGTAAAAGTATCCTGTTCCTCCATGAGTGCACCCTGTCTAAGGTTAGTGAATTACACATGTTGTTAACGTTATTAATAGAGGAGAATTGCGGGTTGCATGTGCTTGAAAGCCATTTGCAGCAAGTGGTCTACAGAATGTAAAATGTGAACCTAGTAGCTTGAGCCATAGTTTCCATTTAATATAGATTCAACACACCAGTAGCAACAAGCCATTAGTCATGGTCTACCACAAAAACGAATAGAAAACGAAAATTGCTGACCATCAAAATTGGCTAATTAAATATTCATCAAATCGGTCTCATTTAGCTGAGTTGCAAGTGCTTTTGTCACCCCGTTCAGTTAATAGTCTTTACGTAGTTTACTTAGCAAATTAGCAGGCCTGTCACGTAATACGTTGACACCGTTGCGCAAACATCGTTGTGCATTAAAACCGAAACGCAGTACCTCTGTGCACACTGGAATTTTCCTGATCGAGTAGCCGGACCTCAACGAACAAGAAGTCGGAAGTCGGTGCTGACACGACAGAAATGAATTGATTATGCCCCATAAAATACTACGATAACCCACTGCAGACCGCTAAGTACTAATGGCTTGGGTAGACCAGTGGAAAGTGCGCACTTGTCGGATTTCGCTTAAGTACACGCGTTGAAAACAGTCAGTGTCAGGTTGCTATTTCATTGGCAGGGACATGGGAAGGGATAGTTTTGTAATGAGTAGGGTGGATTAGACAAGCAAGCTTTTATTGATCGACGGTGAATACATGCAGCACAAAAGTCGAGTTTAGCCTCATTCTCGCAGTATTCTAGCTGATTAGTAGTAGTTGGTATGGTTACCATAAATGTCATCTATTGCACCGCATATGGAAACAAACGCTTCTTCCATCTGCAGTGATATTCTTCGAAACGAAACAGAGTGTACCCCCAGCTGCACTCTGGAGTTTACCTCCGAGAGTTTGAATGACCACAGTGCTCTTCGAAGCTAAATGGCTTGTTATATTTACCAAGAGATAAACTCCGCACAATATGTCTTTCATCAAGCCGTATTTGTAGACAATGTTAATCTGTTCCTTTGGCCAAAAATAGGGCAAATCTATTCCTGTTCTAGCGTATACTTTGTGCAACTGCGATGTGGGTTTACACTACGGTAGTCTTGTTCTCATAGTACCAACGAGATTCCCACTGAATTGAACCATGAGGGATCGCTTGCTAAGTGTAGTATAAAGTACTGACAAACTTCCCTATCCTTCTTTGTAGATTGCCGTTTACGGTGCATCCACATTTTAGACAAACAAGTACCTTGCGGTCCCGTATTTCGTAAATGAGTCATGGTAGGCATAAAAACGAAATTTTCCGGAACTAACAGAACCAAGTTATTTCATCATCTTCAGGTTATTACAACAACATGCGCAGAGGCAGAGTGTGTCTGCGTGTAAAATTGTCTAAAAGCACTTAGAATGGCTTATGTATCGTACTAGGGGTTCACTCACTCCCATGCATCCATCACCTTAAATCACATGGCCACCAGCTTAGTAGATGTGTAAGTGCCACGTCCTAGCAGAAAGTTTCCTCAGTAACGCCGCACTCGTTCACCTGACTTAGTTATGACGCGAGAACAATTAAGAGGAATTTAGTCGTATGTAGATCCAAAATGGAGCGGGCTACATACAGAAAAAACCGTGCTTCAATTAAGGTTACTAAATAACGATACTAAAAAATTAAAACCTCAAAACCGGTGGTTAGCACAAGTTACAGCTCTCCCTCTTCACCTATGTATGAAAGTGTCTATAACGCCTCAGACATTGGCTCATACTACGATGTCGCTTAAAAGATGGGACTTAGACAGAAAAATAACGTTCAACGGCTTATATACAGACAGATAGGTGGCAGTATTTGATCAATATTTAGGCAATTTGATAGTAAAGGGGTTCTGTGCACCGCTGTGACAATACATTTGCCTGGTAATCCTCCTCCTCCTCCTCCTCATCATCATCATCCTCATCATCATCATCATTCTCAGCAGCAGCAGCAGCAGCAGCAGCAGCAGCAGCAGCAGCAGCAGCAGCAGCAGCAGCAGCAGCAGCAGCAGCAGCAGCAGCAGCAGCAGCAGCAGCAGCAGCAGCAGCAGCAGCAGCAGCAGCAGCAGCAGCAGCAGCAGCAGCAGCAGCAGCAGCAGCAGCAGCATATCAGGCACTTCAACTGAAGCTTCACTGCGTTCACTTATGACGACCTGGGGAAAAAAAGAGCAATAAGCGGGAGAGAAGAGAGAACTAGCGTAAAACCTTAATACCCTAAACATCCAGAGTCTAGGCACCTACACCTTGCGTCAATAGCATACAATTACAAACAGATGGCTATAGTGAAAATAAAGGTGCCATCAGTTGGACAGCTTCTATGAGACTTTCATTGCCCCGAGCCATAATCATTCATTACCCGGGAGACGAGTGGCGGCATCCGGTTCCGGTTTTGTCTCTCACTGCTGCCTCCGCAGGACGCCTGCGCCTATAGAGTGAACATGGGTGGTTTGCGCTGCATCACCCACAGCTGCATTCACACAACCCGTACACGGTAGAAAACTGAAGGAATAAGACTGGGAGGTCAGTGGACCTCGGTCTGGTCAGAGGTCAGAGTTGTGAGACGGATGTCTACATTCATTAGTTATGCTAGTCCAACCCTATTCTCAGTATCTCAAAATTTCAGTGGTCTTTATGTTTATCTGTCGGATAAAGGGAAACACGGTATAATGCAAGCAACGACACTGTTGAGACACGAATTTGTGAATATGAACTCAGAGTTCGCAAACATTTTGATTACCAAATCGATTGTTGCTGACTGCTTCGCTCCAGCCGTTCCCAAACTTTTCGCTTAAGCATTCCAAAACTGTATGTTCACTTTGTTTCCAGATGGCTCCATCTCGCACCCTAGCTAGTGGAAAAAATCGACCTTTGAGCATGCAACAGGAGCAAGCGGCAATAGGCCAATACACCCACTTTTAAGCTTTGTGCCTTCGCACCACAAACGGAACTTAGTTCCTTGCTTGCATTATTGTACTACTAGAAGCTGTAGCCAGGAGACGCTTGATGCCGAGGACGATCGCATCTTTAGAACGTCACAGAAGAACGAATATCCAGTTCCATTTATGAAAATGTACGCAACGATCCGGGTGCGCATGAAAAGCGCGATGACTGTACCCAAAACACGTGATTTTGACAATTCCGTCAAAAAGGGAACAGCTCTTGACTTGTTGAGGAGATGGCTCTCAGGCGCGGCGTCCCAAATTTACCCACCCACTTACCTGCATGTACTTACCAAACTGACCCATTTGCAACGCGACGTCTTAAGGACAGAGACCTGATCCAGTCCAAAGCCCATTCTGTATTAATTTAACTGCATCTGTAGTGCAATATCTATTGGAGACACAATCAGGTGTTTGTCAAAGCGTGTAGCAGAACATTGCCTTGGGTCGCTGCGAAGAGGCATACCTAGAAGCATCAACTGCGCCAGCATGGTGCATCTGCTCCTAAGCGGACACGAAATCCGGATAGCAGACACGTTCAACAATTTCCACTGCACGCCGCTACTTTACCTTAAAGTGCTCAGAATGCGCCTATTAAAGACGGCTGAGGCGATCGCTCTCATGCTGATCCAGCCCGAATTGTGCAAGCAGTAATCTCTAGTGCAAGCTCTCTTGTTGCCTTGGCATCGCGGTAGGTCCTCGATGTTGGACACTGGCAACGTAACGTCGGCGGCAAAGCCTGCCTCCAGTTAATCGACCAAATTATCGCCCCTATTTACCGGTGTTATTCGATCACGGTCATTTCTCATTCTGGCTTTCATCAGCATAATGCATTTTTTGCTTTTTTCTTATAATTTTAACTATCTGACTTTAATTATTTGAAAGAGATCTCTTCGCTAAGTTGGCTTAACATTTTTGTTTACACAGTAATCATCATTGGTGATTTTTCCATCATTTGCTCTTTTACGCCTACTAAATCATTCCTGCTTGTCCATTGCGTCCAACTTCCCAGGAGGAGTACAACCGGAATAGTAACGTTATTCTTGATGGAATGCGCTGCAGTGTACAGAGACAATCGCCTTTCCCGCTATTCCTTGCTGAGAAATTCAGGTCGTCCAGTTAGTCAATACAAGTTCCATATGCTCAATCTAGATAGTTCTGTGAGCAGCGGTAAGGCGATCCTAAACCCGCAGTATTGAAACTTTGGTTTATATTGGAAAGATTCAAATGCGAGAGGGCCTGTGTTGATGTTCTCAGTTTTTACGACTATACGACATTACTTATTCGCACATTTATCGGCAGTAATGCTCCCAAACTCGCGCAGAATCGGACTATTCAATCATGATCTAGGACCGTGTCTGAAATAGATAAATATAAGGTGTTACCAGATTCACGGCAGGATGTGAACTCATATATACCCGTCAGGCGGAAATAACTAGACTACGAATTTAACCCGGACAGTAGACATGCCATTCGAAGTCCCCATCGATAAGCCACCGAGTGTGGGTGGCAGGGGTCACCAAGTATTCGTTGCGGTGCAC